TCCCCCCCCCCCCCCCCCCCGCCCCTCGGCCCATCATAGGCTGGAGTTTGCCTCAAGAATCATTTTATAAATACATCACTTTTCACTTTTTTTCATAGTATACACACATGCAAGTGGACCCACCCACTTGCATGTGTGTAGTCCACAATTAAAATAATTGTGGACCTCACCTTTGTGAGTAAGTGTGAAAATTGTTATCAAAAAATTTGTTGTACAAATAGCATTTTTGTTGCCCCAATGGCCCAGAATTTCTAGCAAATCTCATGAACCTATATGAAATTGTAGGAATCGAGTAAAACTGTACGAGATTATACAAAATTGAACGAAAATATAAAGAATAGTACTAAATTGTAGAAAAATGTACCTGCTCGTATATTTTTAATTATTACTGAATTAGGTAAAAGATTTAGTTATTTATAATGTTTAGATATCCATCCGAATGCAAGTCAGATTAATTTGTTGTTAGAATTATAGTTGTTCAAAATAATAATAATAATAATAATAATAATAATAATAATAATAATAATAAAATTTGTTGTGGGCTTAACCATGCGGCCGCATGAGGCCCTCCCACTTGCACTATAACCATGCGACCGTATGGTTATAGCTCATGCGGTCGCATGGTTATACAAAGTAATCGTAGGGGATTCATTTTTCACCGTTTTTCTTTTGAATTTGGTGCCTTTTCAATATAATTTTGCACCATTTTGTGGGAACTCTTCAAAGCCTATAAATAGGCGTTCCAATTGCAATGAAAAACACTCTTGAGAAAATTAAGAAATCCACCTCAAAATTATTCTCCCAAATTATCACATAATCAATCCTATATCTATTTTCACTTGTTTTTTGTGAAAGATACACTTTGTTTTTGGTGTTCTTCACACAAAGGCTTGTTTAATCATACAAACTATTTGTCGGAACTCCTCAAAAGTATTGGAAAGGGGGCAAATAACGTTTGAAGATAGCGTTATCATTTTCGTGTTCAAGCCTCTAATCATATCTATATTCTTTTCCTCTTTGGTATCACCAATTTTCTTCTCTTCATTGCTTTAAATTTCCAGCAAACTCAAACGTTATTTTATTTACTGCAATGGAGTCGAAATCTACTATTGCTACTATCAAAATGATGAATCAAGATCTGGTGCGTTTGGATAGATTCGATGGTGCAAACTTTACAAGATGGCAAGACAAACTCAAGTTTCTTCTAACGGCGTTGAAGATCTTCTACGTGCTTGATTCAAAATTGGAACCCATTCCCGATGCAACTGGCAAGGACACTGAAGAAATTCACATAGAAAGGAAGAAACGAGAAGAAGATGAATTGATATGTTGTGGGCATATTCTAAATGCATTGTCCGATCGACTATATGATCCCTACACAAACACTACTTCGACTAAAGAAATCTGGTATGCACTAGAAAGTAAATACAAAGTCGAGGAAGAAGGTACTAAAAAGTTTTTAATATCTAAATATTTTGATTTTAAATTTTTAGACAATATACCTTTATTACCTCAAGTACATGAGTTACAAATAATTGTGAACAAATTGAAAGTGGTAAAAATTGAACTTCCCGAAACTTTCCAAGTGGGAGCAATTATTGCTAAACTCCATGATTCTTGGAGAGGATATAGGAAGAAAATTCTTCACAATTTCGAAAATTTTTCTTTAGAAGATATACAGAAATATCTTCGCATTGAGGAAGAATCAAGGGCAAGAGATAAGATTGAAAATCTTCTGATGGCTCTTCGAAAGCCAATGCCGTGGACAATGTGGACAACTCCAACAAGTTCAAAAAGAAAGGAAAATTTCTTGGTCCTAGAAAGGATCAAGGAAAATTCAAAAACAAAGTCAAAGGACCGTGCTATGTTTGTGGGAAACCAGGACACTATGCTAAAGATTGCAGGCATAGAAAATAACATAAGAAGAAATGACAAGTGAACTCTGTTAATGAAATATTGCAACAGTGAGTGAAATTAATGCAATCCAAGGCAAAATTTCGGGCTGATGGTACAATATATGCGCTACAATCCATGTATATTATGATAAGTCTCTCTTCAAAACTTATCATGATATTGAAGACAACCAAGAAATACAAATGGGAAATGAAGAAAGATCAAAGGTGATCGGTTAAGGAAATGTTGAACTCCTTTTTACTTCGGGAAAGAAGATCATTTTGACAAATGTCCTGCATGTACCGGAAATGAATAGGAACTCAGCAAATGGTGTACTCTTAGGAAAACCCGGGATTAAATCTGTCTTTGAATCTGGAAAACTTGTATTAACCCATAGTGAGCATTTTGTTGGAAATGGCTATTCCACCGAAGGAATGGTCAAGCTATGTATTGTTGAGGATAACTCAAATAAAATTAAATCTTTTGCGTATGTTATTGATTCATTTAATTTGTGGTATGGTAGATTAGCACATATTGGATTTAGTACTATGAAAAGAATGATTAAATGTGGATTAATACAATGTGATATTGATAAATTAGAAATATGTGTTAAATAAAAAATGATTAAGAAGCCATTTCATAGTATAGAAAAAACAACAAAATTACTTGAACTTGTTCACTCCGACATTTGTGAATTGAATGGAATATTAACTAGAGGCGGTAATAGATATTTTATTACTTTTATTGATGATTGTTCTAGGTATACTTACGTATACTTACTTAAACACAAGGATGAAGCCTTTAGTGCCTTTAAAACTTACAAGAATGAAGTTGAAAATCAATTAGGAAGAAAATTGAAGAATTTAAGAAGTAATAGAGGTGGAGAGTATTTTTCAAATGAATTTAATATGTTTTGTGAACAAAATTGAATAATACATCAATCTTCTGCACCTAGAACACCGGAACAAAATGGATTAGCAGAAAGAAAGAATATAACTTATTTGGAAATGATAAATGCTATGTTATTAAATTCTGAATTACCTTTTAATTTATGGGGTGAAGCATTACTTTGTGCTTGTCATATAACAAATAGAATTCCTATGAAAAAGAATAAAATTTCCCCATATGAACTTTGGAAAGATAGAAAACCAAATATTAATTGTTTTAAAGTGTGGGGGGTACCTTGCATATTATAAAAATATGGATCCAAAGAGAACCAAGTTAGGTCCTAGAGGTATCAAATGTGCCTTTGTAGGATATGCCCTTAATAGCAAAGCCTATAGGTTATTAAATCTTGAATCGAATGTTATAATAGAATCAAGAGATGTGGAATTCTTCAAGAATGTGATGGTAGCTAGGAAATCTGAAAATAATAAGGATATTACAACCTTTAAAAGCTCACCAAAAGAGACATCCATAAAGGATGTTGACTTTGAACCTCGAAGAAGCAAAAGAACCAGAAAGGAAAAGAACTTAGGATCTAATGAAATAGATTCCCAACTTATTTCCTTTTACTTAGTAGAAGGAGATAGGAAGGATGTTGTAAGAACAATTCTTTTGTTTTTCAAGTAGAAAGTGATCCTAAGACTTATAAGGAAGCAATACAAACTAGAGATTATATATTCTGGAAAGAAGCTATAAATAATGAAATTGATTCTATTATTTCAAATAACACTTGGGAAATCGTTGACCTACCAGCAGGTTCGAAAGCTATTGGTTGTAAATGGATATTTAGAAGGAAATATAATTCTGATGGATTGCTTAATACTTATAAGGCTAGATTGGCAGCTAAAAGGTATTGTCAAAAGGAAGGAATTGATTACTTTGACACATATGCACCCGTGGCAAGGATAACCTCAATAAGGATTTTATTTGCACTAGCTTCTATATATGATTTATATGTTCATCAAATGGTCGTAAAAATGGTATTTTTAAATGGAGATCTCGAAGAGGAGGTCTATATGGAACAACCGGAAGGGTTTGTTCTACCGGGAAATAAACATAAGGTGTGCAAATTAATTAAATCTTTATATGGATTAAAGTAAGCTCCCAAAAAGTGGCATGAGAAATTTGACTCTAAAATAATGTCAAATGGATTTAATCACTATTCAGTAGATAAATGTCTCTACACAAAAATGAATGGTGATTTAACACAGTAGTGTGTCTATATGTTGATGATATGCTAATCATTATAACAATATAGACAGAATCAAAGAAACAAAACGATTACTAGCCTCGACTTTCAAAATGAAAGATCTTGGAGAAGTAGATACTATCATCGGGATCAAAGTAAAGAAGGATAGTGGGGGTGTTACATTAAGTCAATCACATTATGTTGATAATGTGATAAATAAATTTAAACATTTGAACATTAAAGAGGCGAATACCCCTATAGATCCAAATATAAAATTAATCAAAAATGAAGGTAGAGCAATTGTACAAATAGAATATGCAAGTGCAATTGGAAGTCTTATGTACGCATCACATTGTATAAGACCTAATGTGGCATTTGCTGTAAGTAAACTAAGTAGGTTTACTAGCAATCCAAGTTCGGAGCATTGGAAAGCCATTGGTAGGGTTCTTGGTTATCTAAAGAAAACCAAAAACCTTGGGCTACAATATACCAAGTATCCTAAAATATTGGAAGGATATACCGATGCAAGTTGGATATCAAGTGTAGGAGAAAATAAATCCACATCTGGATGGATTTTCATTTTTGGAGGTAGGGCAGTTTCTTGGAAGTATAAGAAACAAACTTACATTACACATTCAACTATGGAATCAGAGTTTGTAGCTTTAGCTAAAACATGGAAAGAAGCAGAGTGGCTGAAGGACTTATTATATGAAATACCTTTAGACATAAAGGATATTTCCTCCATACCTATTTTGTGTGATAGTCAAGCTACTTTAACTCGAGCATATAACGAAGTATATAATGGAAAGTCTAGACATATGAGTCAAAGATACGAATATGTAAGGAAATTAATCAAGCATGGAGTAATTTCTCTTATATTTGTTAAGTCAACTGAAAACTTAGCTGATCCATTTACCAAACTTCTCACAAGAGAGTAAGTGAAATCAACATCAAGTAAAATGGGTTTAAAACTTCTTAAATAGATTCACCAATAACGGCAACCCTACCAAAATATACTAAACCTATAAATATATAGGTTCAAAGGGTAACAACAAGTTATTCGATAAGTGGATGGATTTCAACACTATTAAATATATTGAAATTATATCTTTGAAACTAGTGTTGGTTGTTACTGTTGGAGGGATGAGTTAATTAAACTCTTAATGAAGTTCAGTACGGAGTACAAGTATCTGTAAAAGTAACAAAAATACTGGAAGAACTTTACCTATATGAACTTCGAGGTGGTGCCGCCTCATTAGAGAATTGAAGTTTTTTCTCTATAAAAGTTCAACAAAATAGAATTAGTGCAATGCCATATTAGCACTAAGCGAGTTAGAGTTGTGAAAAGTTTAACACTTGTGTGTGTGATTTCATCGGTATGGTCACAAAGAATAACTGGTTCAAAGTACTTTAGCTACTTGGAATTCTGATAATACTTTATGAGATTTACACTATGAATAGATTCAAATCGAAAAGATATCTAATTTTTATGTATAAGTGTTGATTATTTGATTATGTGATAGACACTGATTTTGAACAAGTGGGGAATTGTTAGAATTATAGTTGTTCAAAATAATAATTTAAAAAAAATTGTTGTGGGTTTAGCCCATGCGGCCGCATGAGGTCCTCCCGATAAATTAAAAAAAAAAAAGAAAAAAGAAAAAAATTGTTGTGGGCTTAACCATGCAGCCGCATAAGGCCCTCTCGAGAATGGGAGGGCCACTTGTACTATAACCATGCGACCGCATGGTTATAGCTCATGCGGTCGCCATGGTTATACAAAGTAACCGTTGTGGATTCGTTTTTCACCGTTTTTCTTTTGAATTTGGTGCGTTTTCAACATAATTTTGCACCATTTCGTGGGAACTCTTCAAAGCCTATATATAGGTGTTCCAATTGCAATGAAAAACACTTTTGAGCAAATTAAGAAATCTACCCAAAATTATTCTCCCAAATTATCACAATCAATTCTATATCTATTTTCACTTGTTCTTTGTGAAAGATACACTTTGCTTTTGGTGTTCTTCACACAGAGGCTTGTTTAATCCTACAAACTATTTGCCGGAACTCCTTAAAAGCATTGGAAAAGGGGCAAATAACGTTTCAGGATAGCGTTATCATTTTCGTGTTCAAGCCTCTAATCATATCTATATTCTTTTCCTCTTTGGTATTACCAATTTTCTTCTCTTCATTGCTTTAAATTTCCAACATTTGTTACATGTGTTGGCGAGAACAAGATTTGAAAAATAAGACCTTCTATTTGATGCTATAACATTATCTGAATGCTTATTATAAAGAAATATTAATTTATTTATTTATAATGTGCTAGCTCGCAAATTTCAAAGATCATGAATATTAGACAAAATTATATATTCACAGCATCGAAATATCAACCATGACTCCAACGAGAGTTGAATGTCAATTTACCTGAGTTTCGATTTTCAATAAGTGTGCTAAATAGAAACGTTTATTGTGCACGAGTTTTGCTAGAGCCCGGGATAAGTGGCATTACTCAAATGATATTCAATTGTGGCACATCGAGTGAAAAATTGGTCCGTACGACATGTTTTAAACTTTATAGCCTACATACATACATATATATGTATGTATACATACATATGTATGTATACATACATATGTATGTATGTATGTATGTATGTATATATTTTAGGTCCGTATTCAAAGTTCGATTTGGACTATAGGGATTTCAGATGATCACACACCTATACTAACTATCTTAAAAAGAAAATTCGGATATGCATTTGTAATAGGAGATTTATGTGCGATTGTACAATGAAATTCGACTTGTGCATCTATGCTAACAATCTTAAAAGGAAAATACGTCTAAACTTTGTAGTAGTAAATTCGTGTGTGATTTGACAGTGAAATTCAACCCACACCACAAGAGGCAGATGGTTATTTCTTACAAGTTAGTTAATCAAGATGCAAAATCTTGCTACAAGAATCATTTTATTAAATCCCTGTTTGATGGCCATTTTTTCTCAAAAACAATATTTTGAATAATGATTATCCGATTAAGCGGGTAATCCTTGCCCCGTTCGAGACGGGTCCCCGCAGGTATTGAGTTTGACGAGTATTTTTGTCATCTCTATTTGGATCCTATAAAATGTGTCTCTAATAAATAGTAATAAATTGTGGCTCATACTATATGATATATTAAAAATATATATATTTGACCAATTTAATTTATAAGTGCCTATTTGACCCCTTTAATTTATTTTATGGTTTACTACATGATCATTTTTAACCACATATTCACATAATAAAATATTTTACACGTATACCAAAAGCTTTTCCTATTTTTTAATCACATGTTCTCCCAAAAATAATATTCAAAACTCAATTTTTTTTTTCAATTAATGAGAATCAAACAAGTTCTGATTTAAGCTGTCCTAGTCCTTTTTTTTTTTTTAAACTATGATCACAAATTATATTACAAAGTATTTCTGTTGTTTTGTCTTTCTCTTGTTTCTCATAGAGCAACTCCAAGAAACATTTTAAATACAAAATACTCTCTATTTTAGAGAATCAATTTTAAAAATAAGTTCTAAGAGATTCTCTATTTTAACTTTTTAAAGTAGAAAGTGTTTGACTCTCCAAATTTAGGAAGTCAAACTCATTTTTTATTCTTAATGTACAATAATTACATTTAATAAATTACAAATTTCAATACTTTACAATTTAAAATTTTCAAATTACATTTAAATTGATTGGTTATTAATACATAAAATAATTATATTTAAATAAAATATATGGAGAAATTATTAAATCTTCATTAGAAGAAAAAATAAAGAACCAAAATAGGGAGCTTGTTGTAGTATATAGAAAAATTACTTTTTAAATTTAAATATACTCTATATTATACATAAAATGCTTTTTATAAATATAGAGTTTTTGGAGCTGCTTTTATAAAATAAAGTTCCAATATTACATGTTAATAGACATGTTCTCAAGAAATTGGAAAATTAAATAAATGGAATAATCAAGGGGTTGCTTGGGATTGATTTTTTACCTTAAAAAATTAATTTTTTTTATCGTTATTTTACCATTTCAGCCATAAAATTTGACTTCTCTCAGAGGTGGCCCCCACCTTTTTTCTAACCGTCATAAAATCAATTCTAAAAATCATTCCCAAATGAAGCCCAAACTTAAAGTACAAAGAGAAAGAAAGGGAGGGAGAAAAATAAAAAATCAAAATTAAAAAAAATCAAAAGAATTAGAACCGCGGCTAAGCACTCATTCGATTTGACTTCCCTTCCCAGAAAAAAAGGGGGAAAAAGGATTGATGATGCAAATTGCTGCATTTATTCAAACGTACGAGTGAGAAAGATCATTTTCGCTTAAATTTTTTTCCCAATTAAACGAAATCTTCAAAGTAGATTACATATAATCCCATGTTTCGGTTGTCTTTATTTCCCCTCATAAATATATATTTCTTATTAATTTTTGTTTCTCCCAAATTATTCATCAGTCTTTCTTTCTCACTTGCCCAAATCGAAAGGTGTGGCCCTTTGCCCTTCTTTTTTTCTTTTTATGATATGATTTTTAAAATTTTTTTTGACGTTGGGTTCTTCCTTTCAAGAAAAAAGTGGGTTCCATTTGTTGTTGAATTTTACTGTTTCTTTCGAAATTTCTGCCTTTTTTTTTTTTTTTGGTCGGGAATGTATGGCTTGAGCAGTGATTTTTGGTGATCATGTTACTTTGAATTTGTTTTTTTTTTTTTATTGATTTTAAGGAATGGGCCTTCCTTTTACTTACTCCTTGATTTCTGGTTTGTTTTAGAATCATGTAAAGTTTATTTTATATTTATTTAAAATTGATGTGGCAACAATATCGTTGATTATATATAGGTATACATGGTTCATCTAACTTCACAGTGATATGTATACTTGTGCTTCTCTGTGTTTATTACATGTTAATGAAAATGCGTTGTGCTATACGTTGTTTCAATTTGCCAAAACCTGTACTCTAGTGCCCATCTGTGAAGGGTCTGTAGCTTAATTCTATTATCCAAGAACGGTGTTATAGTTGTGCTTCAACTCTCAACCTGGGACACAATCAAACACAGTGATAAACCAGAAATTGAACAAAACTCAACACCCAATGGATTAATTTTGTGATAAAGTATCTATTACAGTGAGAATTTAACAGAAATTAAGAAAATAGATTTTGAAGAAAAAGAAAAAGAAACTGAGGTCAGAGAGGAAATGGAAATCATGCACAAATCATTCACCCCATTCTGCCTGTTCTCGTCTACTTTCTTAAGCAGCCACAAGCGTGCTCTCCTAATGCAACTTGATAAAACGTAAAATAGGAGTTGACAACAACAAACGACGTCGTTTCCTTCAGACTTCAAATTTGTAGATGACCATTGGCTGCTTCCTTCTTCTCTCTGTTTCTGGCATTTCTCTTCTTCTTTTCTCCTCAATTCAGCTGTGTTCCATTCTCTTCATAACATCCCTTCCCCTTAAAACAATCTTGTCCCCAAGGTTGGAAGTCTGGGAATTTGGATTGTACATTAGCTGATTCCTCCTAGGTAGCATCCTCAGGGTTAGTTCCTTCATAGTGAACCAGCCATTGGGTGACAGCTAGACCATTCTTGTCAATTAATCTGGTGGATAGTATCTGTAGAGTTTGTCGGTGAAACTGCTGGGGTTCTGATCTGGAAGTTCACAAATTGGCACTTCTTTCCCACCAATTTTTTTCTTCTATAAGGAAACATGGAAAATAGGATGAATTTGATCTGTGGTTGGTAAATCTAGTTTATAGGCCACCTTCCCAAATTTCTGTATCACCTGTTATGGGCCATAATACTTTGCATATAATTTTTTGTTGATCCTCTTAACCAATGTTTGTTGAGCATAAGGATGAAGCTTCAAGTAAACCCAATCTCCAACATTGAATTCCCTTTCACTCCTATGCCTATCTGCATATTGTTTCATCCGTGCTCTAGCTTGAGCATATTCTCCCTAAGTATCTGATTAATTCTATGTCTTTCCTGTAGCACTTCGTCCACTGTGTAACGCTATTTTGTTGGTATGGACCCAGATATCGTATAAAGCTTCAAATGGAGTCATTTTAATGGATGTGTGTAGAGTGGTGTTGTACCACCATTCAGCCATACCAATCCACTTGCTCCAGTGTTTAGGCTGCTTATAAAACATACATTTGAGGTACATCTCTAAGTATTGATTCAGCCTTTCTGTATGCCCATCTGTTTGTGGGTGGTAAGCAGTACTCATTTGTAATTTAACTCCCAACAGCTTGAATAAGCTTTGCCAAAACTCACTTGTGAATATTTTGTCCCTGTTAGTAACAATGCTCTATGGCATTCCATGCAGCTTATGTATGTTGTCTTGGAATAACTTAGCAATAGTTGGAGCTGAGAAGGGGTGAGCCGGAGTTAAGAAATGCACATATTTAGTAAATCTGTCCACTATCACCAGAATAACATTTTTGGCTCCGGAAGTGCGAAGTCCCTTAATGAAATCCACAGATATTTGACTCCAGGCATATTGTGGTTCTGGCAAGGGTTGTAGTAAACCCGGGTAGGCCACATGCTCCCCTTTACATCTTTGGCAAGCGTTCACACTCTAGGACTTCTTGCTTAATTTCTTTGTTCATTCCTGGCCAGAAAAAATATTGCTTACCCCAGTGAATACTAGCCTGTACCCCTGAATGCCCCCCTTCCTGTGATGAATGGATGGCTGCTATCAGTTTTCTTCTCACCTCACCACTTGATCCAATGTAAATCCTAGACTTGTATTTGAGCAATCCATTCAAGAATTGGTAATCTAGCTCTGCATTGTTGTTGAGCAACAACCCAGCAATCTTGCCTTCAGCCTCTTTATCCCCTTGGTAGATGGTTGTCACTTCCCCAATCCACAAAGGAGTAACTTCAGTTATTGCTAAGCACTTAACCCCTTTTCCTTCCCTCCTGGATAGAGCATCTGCTACTTTATTTTCCACTCCTTATACTGTATCTCATAACTAAGCCCCAGAAGTTTGGACAGCCACTTATGTTGCAAGGGAGTAGTGATCCTCTGTTCAAGTAGATACTTGAGTGACTGGTGATCCGTTTTGATGATAAAATGGTGGCCTTCTAAGTAGTGCCTCCACTTCCCAACCGCTATAACTAGAGCTAGTAGCTCTTTCTCATAGATTGATAAACCCAAGTTTTTGTTGTTTATCCCCTTGCTTAGGTAAGCTATTGGCCTTTTGTTTTGCATCAACACTGCTCCCAATCCCCCATAGCAAGCATCAGTTTCCACAATGAATGGAATGGAGAAGTCTGGTAAGGCCAGTACTGGTGTAGAACTTATAGCTCTTCTTAATTCCTGAAAAGCTAATTCAGCAGACTCTCCCCAATTGAAATTCTCTTTCTTCAACAGCTCAGTTAGTGGTTTTGCTATTGCTCCATACCCCCTTACAAACCTCCTTTAATACCCTGTTAGGCCTAAAAAACCCCTTAGTTGTTTGATGTTGGTTGGCTTAGGCCACTCCTGCATTGCCACTATTTTGGAAGGATCCACTGATACTCTTTCTGCAGATATAATATGGCCTAAATACTCTATTCTGGTTTGCCCAAAAGAGCATTTGCTCTCCTTAGCATAAAGCTGGTGTTGCCTTAGAAGTTCCAGTACTACAGCAACATGTTCACAATGGGTTCCGAGGTCTGGACTGTAAACCAGTATATCATCAAAGAAAGCCAGTATAAACTTCCTGAGATGTTGCTTGAATACTTCATTCATTAGACATTGAAAGGTAGCAGGGGCATTTGTAAGTCCAAAAGGCATGACTCTAAACTCATAGAGGCTTTCATCGGTTTTAAAAGCTGTTTTGTGGATGTCTTTCCCTGCCACTCTGATGTGGTGGTATTCAGCCCTCAAATCAATTTTAGTAAACCACTTAGCCCCTTTAATTCACCTAATAGTTCATCAATCAATGACATAGGGTAGTTGTCTTTAATTGTGAGAGTGTTTAGCTGTTTGTAATCAACATAAAACCTTCAGGTTGCATCCTTTTTCTTAACTAGAAGCACAGGAGAAGCATAAGGACTATTGCTAGGCTGCATTATCCCACTTTCCTTCATCTCTTTGACCATTCTCTCAATCCTTGCTTTCTGAATATAGGGGCATCTGTGTCAAAATAATAAATTGTATATCATAAACTGTTCTTCATATTACAAAGGAGAAGACTCTATTTATAGGGCTACAAATAAGCCTAAAAGGAAATAACTCTAAAAGGAAAGATTGTGTATTTATTACACAATCAATTATAAAAAGAAAATAATCCTACACTATTGGAAAACTATCATAGAGAAATATTGATGATATCTATTATTATATTCTACTGACAATCTGTAGGGCATGATCTTGAAAGGTTGGGCTCCTTCTTTTAATGGTGTATGATGGTCATTGAACCTAGTAGGTGGCAGCCCTTTAGGTTCTGAGAAACCATAGGAAATTGATCTACTACACCCTTGAACTCATTGGGGATTACCTCCACTTCTTTCTCAGTAAATTAGCATGGTATCAGAGCCATAGAATCACTTACTCGTGTGTTTGTATTGTGGGTCTGCTCCTTGTTCATCGTCATTGGTGGTCGGGGTCACAGGCATAAATTGCTTCTTAGTTTATAGTAACCTTCGATCGGAGTTCGGGTCTTAGACATCGTCGGTGATAGTGTCTCTGTTATTCCCATCGGCATCTTCGTGTTTTATTTTGGAGGCTTGAGTTTTCTGGTCCATTCAGTACCGTACCTCCTGCGTGAGTTTCTAATTTCATGCGAGGCTAGCCGTTCAGTTACCAGTCGACGCACTTCGTTTGTCTCTCCTCCTCGTCTCAGCGTTCTCTGCTCGCATCTGTGTCATGGGTCTTACTTCAAGTGGGCTGTGAGTATTTGGCAAAAACTTATTTGGGCCTCTGTTGTTGGTTTTGTGTACTGTTTTTAATAGAACTGTTGCTTGGGTTGTGATTGTGGGCACATTCTTGTTGATTGAAAAATTTATTTGGGTTGTTTTTTTTGTTGACTGCAAAAGTTATCTGGATTGTATCTGGATTGTGAGTAATTTTCTACACGGTATCATCATATCAATTGAGAAGAGTGACCATGTTTGCATTCGTTTTACGGGAAAAAATTATTCTTCATGGGCATTTTATTTTCAGCTATTATTTAGGGGTAAAAGCGACCTATGGGGACATATTGATGGATGTATTCCAACTCTTGATAAAGAGAAGGAAAAGGAGAAGTATCTTGCTTGAAAAACAAATAATTCTCAAATTTTGGTTTGGATTATTGGATCTGTTGATACTCAAATTGTTCTTAATTTGAGGCCTTATAAGTCATCTCGTGATATGTGGGAGTCGAAACTATATACTCAAAGCAACAATGCTAGGAGACTTCAGTTGGAGTTTGAATTGGTAAATTTTTCTCAGGACTCTCGCTCCATTGAAGAGTATTATTCTGTTTTTTCCAATCTTTGGACTGAATATACAGATATTATCTATGCTTCGGTTTCACCTGACAGTTTGGCAACTGTCCAAGCTGTACATGAAGTCACTAAGAGGGATTGGTTTCTCATGAAATTGCGAACTGAATTTGAATCCATCAGGTCCAGTCTTATGAATCACGAATCTATCCCAACGCTGGATAGATCTTTGAGTGAGTTGTTGAGGAAGGAACAACATCTTATCACTCGTACCTCTTTGGAACAGCAACAGAATCAACTAGCACTGATTTCACGTGCACATGTGGCTCAAGGGAGATTCAAATCTCGGGATATGTCTAGTGTGCAGTGTTATAGTTGTAAAGGGTTCGGTCACATGACTCTTCAGTGTTCCAAAAAATGTGCAATTATTGCAAGAAGCCTGGACATGTTATTAAGGAGTGTCTTATTCCTCCTTTACGTAAGATCGGAGCAGGTTATGTTGCTGCTGCTACTTTTGCCTCCAATTTTTCTACGCCAGATGCATCCACTCAAGTTTCAACCTCTCCCAGTTCTTTCCAAAATACCATCACTCCTGAAATGATCTAACAAATAGTTATCTCTGCTTTGCCAGCATTAGGCATCTCAGATAATTCATCAACAACCTCTTCGTCTTGGTTATTAGACTCAGATGCTTCTAACCATATCATAATTCTTGATTGCTTAATAATCTTAGACCATATATTAGACCTTTCCATATACATACAGCCGATGGTAATTCACTTCCTATCTCAACTGTGGGTGATATATCTCCAAATTTGTCAAATGTTTTAGTATCTCCTAGTCTATCAACTAACCTTATGTCCATTGGTCAACTTGTTGATGACAATTGTACTGTGTCTTTTTCTTCTTCTGGCTGTCTTGTGCAGGATTAGGTGTCCGAGAGGACGATCATGAGGGGGTCTAAGGAGGGACATCTCTTTCTTGTTTCACTAAAGCCTGTTTCGCATTTTCCCATTATTTGCAATTCCGCTGCTTTTAATATTCTTTATTGGCATAAGAAATTGTGACAACGCAATAATAATGTATTACAACATTTATTAAACTCTGGTTTGCTTGATAATAAAACTTCTGCTTCAGTTTTGTCTATTTCATTTGATTGTGCTTCATGTAAACTTGGTAAGAATAAAATTTTACCGTTTCCTTCTCATGGTTCTCACGCTTCACAAATTTTGATATTGTTCATAGTGATGTATGGGGCATTGTACCTGTTGTATCTCATGCTCATTTTAAATACTTTGTTACTTTTATTAATGATTATAGTCGTTTTACATGGGTTTATTTTCTTCGTGCGAAGAGTGAGGTTTTCTCGGTATTTCAGGCTTTCCTTGCCCTCATTAACAATCAATTTTCTTCCTCAATCAAAATCCTACGATCTGATTCGGGAGACGAATATATGTCTAATGCATTTCAATCTTTCTTACAGACAAAAGATATTATTTCTCAATGATCTTGTCCTTCTACTCCTCAACAAAATGGGGTGGTAGAACGCAAGAATCGTCATCTTCTTGACATGGTTAGAGCTCTTTTGATTGAATCTTTTGTTCCTTCTCGTTTTTGGTGTGAAGCCTTGTCTACCGCTGTTCACCTCATAAATCAATTACCATCTCCCACCCTTGGTAATACTTCTCTGTTTTATAAACTCTTTGGTCATCATCCCACATATTCTCATCTTCGTCCCTTTGACTGTGTTTGCTTTGTCCATTTACCACCACATGAACAGACAAAACTCACACCTCAATCTATTAAGTGTGTTTTTCTGGATATGGTGGGAATCAAAAGGGGTATGTTTGTTATGATCCCACGACACATCGCATTAGGATATCTCGTAATGTTGGATTCTTTGAAAAACAATCTTTCTTCACCTCCGAGGTAGTTAATTCCCCTCCCGTGTTCTCTATCTTGCCTGATTTTCCTACAGGCTCATCTCAGTACAAGCCGGGTCTAGTTTATACTCACAAGCATGTTACACCAATCACTACTGACAAGCCTTCTTCTTAGCCAACTGTCTCTCTAGAACTCTCTGATCCTCTGCCTACGGCATCAGATCCTTCACCAAATGATGCTCCTCCTCCTGTCGCCCTCTGTCGCACTTCTCGTGTTTCTCGACCTCCATATAGGTATGGTTTTTCTTCCCATAGCTCTATATCTGCTACCCTTAACTCTGTTTTCATTCCCTCCTCCTATAGATAAGCTATAGAACAAGAGTGTTGGCAATAAGCAATGAATGCAGAACTTGAGGCTCTACAGGCAAATCAAGCCTGGGAGGTTGTGCCATGTCCCCCAAATGCGGTTCTCTTGAGCAGTATAAGGCACGTTTGGTTTCCTTAGGACATCGTCAGAAGTATGGAATTGATTACGATGAGACATTTGCTCCTATAGCTAAGATGACCGCCGTTCGTCTCTTGTTATCAGTGGCCACTTCTAGGTCTTAGTCTCTACATCAAATGGATGTGAAGAATGCATTCTTACATGGGGACCTCAAGGAAGACATTTATATGAATCTTCCATCTGGCGTGCCTCTTCCCTCTGCTCACTCTGTTTGTAAGCTAAAGCGCTCTTTGTATGGTCTTAAGCAGGTACCTCGAGCATGGTTTGACAAGTTCCGCCGCACTCTTTTGGATTTCTCATTTACTCAGAGTCAATTTGATGTATCTCTGTTTCTTCATAAGAGTAATGCTGGCAGCATTTATTTTGTTGGTATATGTAGATGATATTATTATCTCTGGATCGGATCACACTCTTATTCAAAAGTTTCAACAGCATCCTCACTCGAATTTTCATATGAAAGACCCTGGTTATCTCACTTACTTCTTAGGCTTAGAGGTTTATACTGCACCGCATGGTATTTTCTTGAATCAACATAAGTATATTCCAGATTTGATTATGTTGGCTGAGTTATCTGATGCCTCCTCTGTTGATACTCCGTTATAGCTTAATGTTAAATATCGAAAGAAGAGAGTGATACTCTTCCAGATCCTACTTTATATTGGAAATTGGTGGGTAGTCTCATATGTCTTACTGTCACTCATCCGAATATTTCCTTTGCAGTACATACTGTTAGCAAATTTATGGATGCTTTTCGTCATCTTCATTTGGTAGCTGTTCGTCCCATTATTCGTTATCTTGTTGGGACTTCTTATCGTGTTCTATTCTACCCTCGGCGAACACCTCTTGAGCTCATAGTGATGCTGATTGGGCTGGTTGTCCTGACTCTCGTCGATCTACTATTGGGTGGTATATTTTTTTAGGTGATGCTCCCATTTCTTGGAAATGTAATAAACATAATTGTGTTTCTAAGTTCTTCACTGAGGCTAAATATCACGCTATGTCCACTGCTTGTTCTGAGATTGTGTGGTTGCGTGGTCTTCTTGCAGAACTTGGTATTTCCCAGTCGCAACCCACTCCCCTGCATAGTGAAAATACGAGTGCTATTCAAATTGCAGTTAATCCGGTATACCATGAACGCACCAAACATATTGAAGTCGATTGTCATTACATCAGGGACGCCTATGACTCCAAGGTCATCGATCTACGATATGTTTCCAATAGTCAACAGATCTCAGACATCTTCACAAAATCTCTTACTCGTCTTCGTCATAATTTTCTTGTCAGCAAATTGATGCTTGTGAACTCACCATCATCAATTTGAAAGGGGGGGGGGGGTATTAGAGGCGTGTGATTTAAAATAAATTGAAAGAGAGGAAGAGATGGGGGATCGAGGTAAATTGGCAATCACTGCCTCCCAATTTCAATACCCTTGACTGGTATTGAAACTCCAGGTTCTGCATCTTTCAAACCGGTGGATTACAAACAGCCTTACTAATCGGTTTTTCCCCTCCTGCCACAGTAACTGAGGTAGGTTTTGCTGGCTGTATCTTATAGTTGATACTTTTTACTAACTCTTCGTCAATGAAACTGTGGGTACTCCCACTATCAATCAATATGGATACTTTCCTTTTCTTAATCATCCCTGGTAATCCTATAGTTTTTGCCATGTTGTTTCCAATTAATGCATAGATGGAAATCTCCATCATCTCATCAGATTCACCCTGCCCTTTTTCCCTTCTTTCATCCCTAGGGGGTTCCTCTAATTCTCCCTCTACCTCTTCATCTACTAGTATGAAATTGAGCATCTTATTCTTACAAATATGGCCCTTAGTGTACTTCTCATCACACTTAAAACATAAACCAAGTTCCCTTTTTGTTTGGATATCTGATGGGGTGATTGGTTTGAATTTGAGGGGGTTCAGTATAGGGTATGGATTTAGATGCAGTTTCATTTGGTCTAGTGTTTAGTTGGCTCCATTTAGTAGGTGGAAATGTTTTGAAGGTCTTAGAACCTTTGTTTATAGCTATAATGGTATTTTCTTGCAAAAGGGCAATTTTAAAGGCTTTGGCTAAGGTTGGGGGTTAATTAATCTTAACCATAGATTTGATCTCTTCTTTTAGACCACTGGTGAAAATTGAGATATAATAGGACTCAGGCAAATGGGGAAGAGATATCATCACCTGTGATTTCAATTCTTCAAACTGCTCTTGATACTCTAGAATGGTCCCCTTTTGCCTCAGCTTACTGAAAACTTCTATCACTTCCTCAGCTTTGTTTTCAGCAAATCGCCTGCATAACTCACTTGAACATTTTTCCCACTCAGCATTGGGATTGTTGGAGATGAAACCATATGTCCGCTTTTCCCCTTAAATACATCTCAGCTATTCCCACCTTCAATTCATCAGCCACGATATATTTGGAAATATTTCTGGGCTTTTCTCACCCATTCTCTAGGGCCCTCTCCCCCAAAATAAGGGAAGTCTATTTTAGGTAATTTAGTATCCATTCTGGCCTCCCTAAATCCGCTGGTATTTCCCAGATGACGGTCACTCCCCAGAGGAATATCACTGCTGGTTTGAGATGGAGTACCATATCTTTCTACGTGCTTCTCTTTGTGACCTGCTTTACCCCCATCATATGGGCTAACATGGATACGATAGATTCGTATTTGCTATTCGTTGCCCCCATTAAATGCTCCATTTGGTCCTGCTTAGTGCAGACTACCTTCAACATTTGGTCTGATGATTTGAAAGCCACACCCAAGTCTGATATTTCCTTGTCTAGCTTCCTAAGGTGTTCCGCATTAGATTTACTCCTAGTTTCAGCCATACCCAAGTCACGTTGCTGCTTTGATACCAAATATTATAGTTGAGCTTCAATTCTCAACCTGGGACACAATCAAACACAGTGATGAACTAGAAATTGAACAAAACTCAACACCCAATGGATTAATTTTGTGACGAAGTGTCTGTTACATTAATAATTTAACAGAAATTAAGAAAGTAGATTTTGAAGAAGAAGAAAAAGAAACTGAGGTCAGAGGAAATGGAAATCACGCACAAATCATTCGCCCCCCTTTGCCTCTTCTCATCTAATTTCTTAAACAGCCAAAAGTGTGCTTTCCTAATGCAACTTAATAAACGTAAAATAGGAGTTGACAACAACAAACGACGCCGTTTCCTTCGGACTTCAAATTTGTAGATGACTGTTGGCTGCTTCCTTCTTCTCTTTGTTTCTGGGATTCCTCTTCTTCTTTTCCCCCCAATTCAGCTAAGTTCCCTTCTCTTCGTAACAAACAGTTGTATGTGTAGAAGTAATTGCCCTTGTTCTTGAGATCTTAAACTATCAATAATGCATGTGATTGATTGTATTCATATAAATTCTTTTCATCTATTTGTCATGTTTTATTTTGATGGTTTGAAAGCATTTTGATTAGGTAATTGTTTGTATTGAAGAGGAAAAATAAGCACGATTTGTAATTCATTAATGTGATGAAAAGTCTTTGATCAAATTTCCTTGTTCTCTGGTTGATTTTTTCTTCTTTTGATTATGTGACACTACACCCCTGTTTGTCCCCCATTTTCTAAAAGTCATTTTCCTCATTTTCAACCATACATTTCATGGGACCTTTAACTTTTGTCAACTTTTCAACCACATATTCATCAACTTTTATTAAAATCTATGGAAAATCTAATTTTTAGCTAAACCAAACAAGCGATCCTAGAAGCTGAGGGGTTTTGCAAAACTAAGTATTCATTTGTTTATTTGGAATACAGAATGCGCCTTTCAGTTTAAGCATATTTGATTGCATAACCTGATATCCACATGACATGCTTCAAAATGTGTTTAAGTATCGGAGTTCTATCAATTGAAACATTTTATGTTTTTCTGCATGTTATTGTTGCAAAATCATCTCACTTATCCTAATTAATCCCTTGAATTACTTTTTTTATCATGTAGATGGTACTCAATTTGGACCTCAATTGTCCACCACATGATGAGGATTCTTCCATGAATATCAATACAACGTTGGAGCTTGGACTTCCTTGTGCGCAAATGAGGACATCTTATGAGCCTGATGATGATGACGTAATAATTTGCTCTCCTAGGAGCTTTGCTGACGTAAGAATTCCTTTTACATTCCATTTCAATGCTTTTGTGAAGTCGCAACGTGCAAGTTGTTTATTGATCCACAATTTTATTATAGGCTGTCAACAATTCCAGAAGGAATCGTAGGGTAATAGAGGTGGTTGATGATGAAACTGAATCCCAGAGAGGCAGCTCAGGTTTCTGCTATTTTAACAAAGTTATCTTTTTAATGATATAGAGTCCAGAGATTTTAAAGAATGTCTTTTCTCTTCAATTACTATGAATTTAAATGGAAAGCTTCTTGTTGGTTGTTTATTTTTATATCATAATCTTGTGACATTAAAGTCTAGTTGCACTTTGTCGCAGTACACTGCATTCAAACCTCTCTCTCTTGTTTTACCGTTTGATGATTACATTGACTGAACTTTCTTATCCAGAAATTTATAAAACAAAAAGTGCAGACTAATTTTCAAATATTTGATGCAGGCTTTTTAGGTTTTATTAATTAAACAAATATAAAGAATTACATGCAAGTCGATCGAAAATCTCTATTATTACAGCCCTGAATTTGAATTTTATGATTTTTCAATTTCCCTATGATGACTTTCTTATTCAAATAAACTTTGCAATTTTATAAGTTTGGCAATCTTCGGTAAATTCTTGAACAAAGATACTTTAAAACTGTACCTACTTTTCTATAGTACTAGACCATTTGATATACTATGTGCACAACTTAAGTTTGTCAATAGTTATATGAATAATTATGGCACATTTAATTGTGATATAGCGCTTTCCAAATTGCATCATGTGACTATCAATAATGATTCTTTCCCTAGTGTCAATACATATTTTGAATTGCTTGCATGGATTATAAACATACTCAGCTGTAGTAGTTGTACACTATTGGAGGTTGATTTCTTTTGCATGTCGGACTCCTGACACTATGCATATACTACAGTGAGACAGTCTGGTAATTGTAACAAGCGCCCAAGAATTTCTGCAAAACAGAGAGGTGGTGTGGTTAATTCCAGTGTGTACTTGGAAGATCAAGATTTAGTGGAGGTATTTGATGACCTTATTAATACAGTATCATTGCAATTATTTACATCTGTTGTCTCATTTTTTTTTTATTTTTTATTTTTTCTTTTCGGGTTTAAGTTTTGTTTGCAGCTTGTAATATTTCAATCGTAGATTGACTTTCACTGGAATTTGAAATCAGGGCTTCCTAATTTGAACCAATTATTCCTTTCCCGTGAAGTGAAGGATGTTTCTTTTTGTGCTTTCTGGACATCTCTCATTATAACTTCACTACTAATGCTCATGTTGCCATTTTTTATTGATCAAGAGCCCATCTATCCTTAGTTTTTAATTTTTTTTTTATTTCTTAGATGATATAAGTGATTTCTTAAGAATTAAATATTTTTCCTTTTTAAATGAATTTTAAAATGGTTGATGTTAATCCTTCTGTACGTTTGAATTAATTCTTCACTATGATAGGTGCAGAATTTTTTTGTCCTATAATTCAGAAGGGAGTAAAAGATCGAATAAACTACCTTACAATTGTGCATATGTGCATATTGAAGCAATAAACTCTGACCTGAGTTGTAGAATGCCATGAGCATTAAACCCCCTCACTTGGAGTTTCTTTTGCTAGATCTCAATCTCTAAACAGCAGAACAAATATTGGCCTGCAATAGGAAACACAGCTGTTTTGCTACTGAGAAGATCACCATTCCTTCCATTTCTGTAAAATGCTGCTTATAATTATTCCTCTTAATATTTTGCTTAAGAACTTTTTTCTATCCAAGCCATTGTCAGAGGTTGTCCCACCTAGAATATGTTGAATTGATCTCGTCCATATTGCATTTGGAGGCTGAGAATAACAGAGATAAACCTACCAACCCGAAGAACTTATATCTTAGAATTCTAACTACTTTTCATCAACTTCACTGTACCTGAGCTTTGTTCCACATCTTGCTGAGATAATTCTATATTCTGGAAAGCTATTTTGGTTTTTATTTATCATCTTAACCACTAGAAGTTGGCTATAATATTTTATGGGCTCTCTTTCTCTTGTGGGATAATGTTTAATATAGAATTACATTGTTTGATCTTGTATAAATGTTACGGTTTTATAATTGAATAACATGAAATTGTTTGAGCTCATATAACTCATAAATTTTTTATTGATTATTTGTGCACGCCATGTGGGCAAGTTTATTTTTCAAATTCATTGGTATATCCAGCTCTGGGAATTTAAGCCTTTATTAGGCATCTACATGTGTTTTTGTTGGACTCAACGTTGCTCATTTCCGTGATTCATTTGTTATTCCTTCCTGACGCTTCGTCAATTGTGATGCCTCAGTTATCCCAGCCCGTTCCACAGCCAAAACCACCAACATTTAGTTGCCCAGTTTGCATGGAACCAATTGTTGAAGTAACGTCAACCAAATGTGGCCATGTCTTCTGTAAAAAGTGTATCGTTGCAGCAATTGAAATTCAGCACAAATGTCCTACATGTAGGCGGAAACTTAAAAAGAAAGACGTTATCAGGATCTACCTTCCAAATGCTCAATAATTGAACTCTATGCCCATGGCGCCGTATTCTGTGAGTGTGCCCTCTAATTTCTTGAATTATATTTTTCAAAGTGGTGATTTCTGAATATTGAAATCCAGTTACCTTTATCTGTTTTTGAATTCGGGTTTTGGTTAAAATAATAATTTAGCAAAATTCACCAACCTCTTCTTGGTGCAGGATATCTCAAGGTATGTAGTGACGATTCTTCATTTATCTGAGCCACTATGTTGCCTCTTCAAGTCAAGATGTGCTTCTTGGCAGGTTGATATTTCTTCATTGGTTTCCATTGGCATTTCACCATATGAACTCAACATTTTAAGAACTTGGTTTTGAGGGAACTTTGTTTTGTTTCTCTCTAAGTGGAGGGGGTGTTTGAATCTAGGCAATTACCTTCTATGAAATTTTCTTCCCATCTCCACTGAGAGACGTGGTCATTGGCTAATAGTTCATTTTGACTACAGAAGCTTGTGCAATGAGCTTCTAGTTTCAGGTTTCCAATATTACTTTCTTAAGAAATTTGTCTATTGAATGACTTTGTGACAAAGTTGTGTTAATGAATGAGGATTTTTTTGGTACATTGTTAATTTTTGGTCTCTGTAATTTTCTACATCTAGGGAGACGATGCTGGCTATCGAGAATGTTTAGCTTTACTTGTAGTTGTAGAGAAAATCTCAAGTTTCACTAGTTCGGTCGACCGAACTTTTCTAAAATCCGGTAAGTTTATGAAAAATGAGGAATCTGGTATTCTCGATTTCAATACCGTATAGGCCTTTTGTTCGGTAAGATGATATATAATAGCAAGTTACAGTCGTACAACTAATTGGATAGTAACAGAATGAACAACAAATCAACTATTGAATTTACTGCAATAAATAACAGAACGAATAATTGAAATTGCAGGAAATGAAATTTCAAACCAAAGCCTGTGTTACATACAGTTTCCTTAAAACAGATTTACCTTCTCTCCGTCCGTGCTTGAGGTTTAAAACGAGTGTCCATTTTCCAGGATACAACGGTAAAATCAGTAGTTTTCAAGCATTGCAGAAATCATTTCGACGAACTGAACTAGTGCCTGAACTACACCACCACCAAGATAGAAATGCAGAAAAGACAACTCTATGCAAATGAATTTCTTGTGTATTCTAAATTTGAAAGCTTTTGCTTTGGTGTATTGAAATGAGGAAAATGAGCCACTATTTATAGGCTAGGCTACCGTTAATGGCAATGACCTTTGGAGTTTCTCATTTTTTTCTTATGTGGGACAAATTCATTTTCCTCACATAAACTCCTTTTTGAGTGGCACACTTTAAGTCTCAATTTCTCATTCACCCGAGCATCATCTTTGGTAAGTAAGCATATGATTTTGATGTACTTACGGAGAACACAAATCAACTTTCATCTTCCAAATTGAACAACCGGGTCCTACTCAAAATTCGTGCCAAAGTCGGCCCATAACTCAATTTTTTTTTTCCAACAATCCCCCACATGAATAAAAATTGGGAGCGATTTATGAATGTAACACATGACGACTTGGTGATATAGTTCAACAGTTGAAACCTGTATAGAATAGGTAGGTGTTACCCTTTGAACCTTTCCTTGTGAAGCATATTTACTTCACTAACTGACCAGTAGACGTGATGTCCTTGAACTGTTCTGCCATTTATCTAAACGATGATACACTTCACACAGGATTCTTCCTAACACATTTCAGTTCTCATTATTATGTTCGTTTTGACCATGAACATACGCCTGGTTCTGTGAGAGCTCACAAGAATTGCACCCCACACAATTCCCTTAGAAGCGGCCCCACTTCTCTCTTACATAGGTGATTTCTTATTACAAGTAACCCGCATTACTTGGCTCGATTTTCGACGCATAAGAATTATTAAAAGCCTATTGCTTATCCTCCATCTTTACGGGCATCACTGTCGCATCACAGGAATGGGCAGGAGGTGATATCCCCCACAGTGATTCTATCAAGTCTTTACAATTAGGTTGTCCCTTCGAACCTAGATCTTGGGATCTCTAGTCAATTAGGTTGGGTTTTCCTTTGTATTAACTTATCCATTCAAGGGTTTAAGTCTCATTCCTATCGATGATTTCTCAACTAAGTCTCTATTCTTTGGTTAGCGGATCCGCAATGTTATCCTTTGACTTTACATAATCAATAGTGATAACTCCAGTTGAGAGTAGTTGCCTAATGGTATTATGTCTATGACGTATATGTCTAGACTTACCATTATACATGCTGCTTTGTGCCCTTCCAATTGTCAATTGACTATCACAATATATGCAAATTGTTGGCACAGACTTTGACCATCTTGGAATATCCTCTAAGAAGTTACGTAGCCACTCAGCCTCTTCACCACTTTTATCTAGAGCTATAAGCTCAGATTCCATAGTGGATCTGACTATCACTGTTTGTTTAGAAGATTTCCATGATATAGCTGCACCTGTCAATGTGAACACAAATCCACTCATGGACTTTGAGTTTTTTATGTCGGATATCCAATTAGCATCACTATATCCTTCAATGACCACTGAATATCTGCTATAGTGCAGTCCAAAATTACGAGTATATCTCAAGTACCTTAGTACTCTTATTATTCCTTTCCAGTGATCAGCTCTTGGATTACTCGTGTATCTACTCAACTTGCTCACTGTGTAGGCTATGTCTAGTCTTGTACAACTCATCAAATACATCAGCCTTCCAATAATTCTCAAGTATTCTACTTGAAACACACTTTCACCTTTGTTCTTAGATAAATGTTGACTCGTATCTATCGGGGTTCTAGCCATTTCAGTATCATCCTTACTGAACTTTTCTAGGATTTTGTCTACATAATGTGACTGGCTTAGAACAAGACCATCCGATGTTCTTGGAATTTTGATTCCAAGTATAACATCTACTAGACCCATGTCTTTTATGTTAAATCTCGAATTTAACATGATTTTAGTGGATTTGATCACCTTATCATTGCTGCCAACAATAAGCATGTCATCAACGTAAAGACATAAAATGACATAGCCATTTTCAGTGTCTTTAACGTAAACACATTTATCACACTCGTTGATCTTAAATCCACTCTCCATCATGACACTGTCAAATTTCTCATGCCATTGTTTTGGTGCTTGTTTCAAGCCATACAATGACTTCATCAATTTACACACTTTCTTTTCCTGCCCTGGAGACGAAAACCTTTCGGGTTGTTCCATATAGATTTCTTTATCTAAGTCTCCGTTCAAGAAAGCAATCTTAACATCCATTTGATGTACATCAAGATTTCGCAAAACAGCAATCGCAAGTATCATTCTAATGGATGTTATTCTCGTTACTGGAGAATATGTATCAAAGTAATCAAGGACTCCCCGTTGTCGGTAACCTTTTATTACCAACCTGGCCTTATACTTTTCAATAGTTCCATCTGCTTTCATATTTCGTTTGAAAATCCACTTATAGCCTAGTGGTTTACTTCCTGGTGGAAGATCCACTAGCTCCCATGTATGATTTTGCAGGATAGAATCTATTTCACTTTTAATGACATTTTTCCATTGAGGTCCTTCCAAGGAGTTTACAACCTCTTGATAGCTTTGAGGTTCACTTTCTAACATATAGGTCAGAAAATTCGGACCATAAGATTTTTCTGTCCTTTCCCTTTTGCTACGTTTAGGTTCAACCTCAACCTCCTCTTCTGGATCTTGGTCCTGACTATGTTCAGTCATAGTCTCATACATCTGTTTAGAAGAACTTGTCTCTTCTTCGGACCTGCATGGAAACACATGTTCAAAGAACGAAGCGTTATTCGACTCCATTATCGTGTTTTTGTATATATCTTGGATTTTAGATTCATACACGAGAAATCGATAAGCACTACTGTTATGTGCATATCCAATGAATATGCAGTCTACAGTTTTCAGGCCTATCTTCACCTTCTTTGGTGTTGAGACAGCCACTTTAGCAAGACACCCTCACACTCGTAAGTATTTATACGAAGGCGTTCTTCCTTTCCATAACTCATAAGAGGTCCTCTCCATTTTCTTTCGGGATACCTTATCCAAAAGGTAATTTGCTGATAACACAGCATCCCCCCACATGTTCTGAGGTAATCCAGAACTTACTAGCATCGCATTCATCATCTCCTTTAAGGTGCAATTTTTCCTTTCAACAACACCATTTTGTTGTGGTAAATACGGTGCAATGGTTTCATGTATGATTCCGTGTAGTGTACAGAATTCAGCAAACGGTGCTTCATACTCACCATCTCGATCGCTTCTTAGCACCTTAATTTTCTTGTTAAGTTGATTTTCAATTTCATTCTTATAGAGAACAAATTTCTCTATCGCTTCATCCTTGCTTTTTATCAAATACACATAACAGTATTTCGTCCTATTGTCGACAAAAGTAATGAAAGACTTGTTGTCACCTCTTGTTTGTACAAATTTTAAATCACATATATCACTGTGAATTAAATCAAGTGATTCCGTATTTCGTTCAATTGACTTAAAGGACGACCTAGTCAATTTCGTTTCAACACAAGTCTCACACTTATGTTTGGAATCAACATGGAATCTGGTATGCATTTCAAGTTAACTAGCCTACGTAAAGTATCATAGTTAACGTGTCCTAGTCTACCATGCCACACATTGGAAGACTCAAGCAACTAAACAAAAGCATTCACTTTATTATTCATTTTTTGTTTAACAACCATTACATTGAGTTTAAATATTCCATCGGAAACATAACCTTTCCTGACAAAATTCCACTTTTCGACAAGATGACCTTGTCTGACTCAAACACAATGTGGAAACCATGCTTATTCAAAAGCGATCCGGACACAAGGTTCTTACAAATTTTCGGCACATACAGCACGTTGTTGAGAGTCAGCTCTTTTCCCGAAGTCATCTTCAAAACCACTTTTCCTTGGCCCTTAATTTCAGAAGTTGTTGAATTTCCCATGAACAACTTCTCTCCATTCTCAACTGCTTCAAAAGCAGTAAATAACTCTTTATCAGAGCACGCATGTCTCGTAGCTCCGGTGTCAATCCACCATTCTTTTGGGTTAGAACCCAACTTCAGAAATTACTGCTGCGAGACTCATCTCCGACACATCATGTGCCATGTAGTCAACCACATTTGCTTCTTTCTTCTTCTTTGGCAATCTGTACTCCGAAGATTTGTGGCCTACTTTGTCACAGTTGAAGCGCTTCCCTTGAAATTTCTTCTTAGGAATGCCCCCTTTTGGTCCCAGGTTGATTCATTTTCCACCGAATGGCCTAGCTTTGATTTTGTAGTTCTTACTACCTTGACCATGTTCAACAATATTGGCCTTAGCCGCACCAGGATTGAACTACTTCTTTTCAGAACTCTTGTTGTCTTCTTCAATTCTAAGTCTAACAATCAGTTTTTCAACGTTCATTTCCTTTCGCTTGTGTTTCAGATAATTCTTGAAATCTTTCCACGCGGGAGGCAATTTTTCAATGATTGCAGCCACTTGGAAAGTTTCACTTTTTGGAGTCCACCATCTTATAGTCCAAGAATCAACCGACGATAAATTTCTTAGCCCCGGCATCCTCAGTCTTATAT